GGAGAATACTTTTAGGATAATATGAATGTTGTCTGTATCACAAGCTGTAAAAGAGTTAAACCCAGAAATGACTTTAGCAACCAAATCTGTTAAATAGAATGGCAAGAATATTTTAGACATTTGGTTCAAGAGTTGAATTAGAAGAAAAGTTCAATGCATACAATTCTTCCTTATCCTTGGGAGAGATAGTAAGATCAGATCCATGAATTAAAGATAGAATGTTTAATTTACTTTAGCTAATGGCATTGTTGTGTTAATTTCTTGCAATATTAAAAAGGTGCTTGTTCTCAAGAGATGTGTTCTTGTGAAAAAGATGAAAAAAATGATTATGATTAGATATAGCAACTGTTTAGGAAAGTGACAACCATGAAGTAGAATGAGGCTTGACTTGAACTACCCCAGTCAGTTTTTGGGTAGTAGGAAGTATTGTAGTGATATAGTGAGTCCAAAGAAGAAGTATAAGATAAAAGATTTAAAGAGATTTTTGCATCGTTCAAATCACCTAATGGAGAACAAGTAGAAACAGAACACAAGCTATGGTCAGTGAAATGGTAAATCAAGAAGTAACTGATTAGACTTGTCTGGAAAATAAGTTACAAAGTTATCTTTGTGGCATTTTCTGGACAACTTATAAATCTGAATAAACAAGTCACAAAGTTTACTATCTGAATAAGATATTGAAAAATGCAGAAGTTATAAACTTTAGTTCCAGCAGGGCTAGTAGTGTTAGAGCGAAGCCATTAAGTTTGATTTACAATAATATCACCAATAACAACAATATTGGCAGAGGGATGAAAAGAAAGGACTTTGTTAGTTTGATCAGATTTTATATCTAAAGGAGTGCAGTCTTGAGAAGAAAGAGAAAAATAAAAGTCAAAAAGAGTGAAGAGATGCAAAGCAGAAGCACATGAAAGAATGGTCTAAGGATTAAAACCTATTTTCTCAACAAAAAGGTGAGTTGAAGTGTAAGTATACACCAAGTTCAAGTTCAATGAATTTCGCAAGAGATAAGATTCAACTGATTAAAAGTTACTTCAAAAATATTTGTATAAGACGTATTGAAACAGTTAGGTGGTGGTGAAAGTTTTTCATATTTAATATTTTTAGGTACTTGGTCATGACATAAGTTAAAGAGAGATTGACTCAATCGTAGGTAAAGCATGACATCCTAACTAATGAAATATACAATTGCCACAGTTCTGCTAATATCATGGAAGCACAAACCTAAAATCTATGAGTAGATTCACAAAAATCCACCATTCATCATCATAGGCAAGAAACAATGTAGCATAGATTTACATCTACGCCAGCTTAATAAATGAAGAAATGGTGTGAGGCTGACCTAAAACGGTCTTAAAACATAATTATTCTTTTTACTCTTTATATAATTCTTTGCATAAAAGTCTTTCTACAAGACATTAGCTGGATCAAGTTAACATCTGCCCAAAATGAATATTTTTATTAAGACACCATTTCTAGATTTTATTCTAGATGAACCCCTGAGGTTACAGAATAAGAAGAAGAGTGCTGTCCATCAAGGACAACTTTTATACTACGATTGGAAAGAAAGGATTCAATAATCTTAAAGATGTTTCCAGATACACAGTAAGAAGAAAGCTTATGGAGAAGACCAGCATGCCAAACTTTATCAAACGCTTTAGAAATGTCAAGAGCAATGGCCTTAACCTCTCCACCTTTATCTAATTCGCAATAAAATCTATTGGTTATTACTGTTAGCAAATCAGCCGTAGAACGAGAAGATCGAAATCCATATTGATGATCAGAAAGTAGGTTATGAGATTCGAGATGAGAGATTAAGTGTTTGTTAATTAAAGATTCAAAAACCTTGCTTATGATAGGAAGAAGACTAGTGGGGCGGTAGTTAGACGAATCGGATCGCTCTCCAGAATTTTAAAAATAGGGATAACAGATGCTGCTTTTAGACAGGCTGGAAAACAAGACTCCGATAAGCACTTGTTGAATAGTTTTGAAAGGATAAACCACAGCTCCAGAGAACACTTCTGCAAGACTATAACAGGTATGTTGTGCGGGCTGCAAGCTGTAGAAAAGTCTAAGCAGGAAATTGCTTTAGATACAGAAGCTGGAGTGATACAGATGTCAAGCAGTGGATCAACCTGTTTGACGGCTATATCAGGTAGAACCCAACTAGTGGAATCAAGAGATGATATTGATGAAAAGTTCTTGGCAAACAATTCAGCTTTGTCTTTAGGTGAGGTGACAAAGTCTGAACCGTACAAAAGAGGTGGAATTACAGACTTGCCCTTATTATTAATACTATTAAAGATTCTCCAGAAGTCACGAGAGCCTAATTTTTGTGATGAAATACAAGATTTCATGATCTGAGAATAGCGGGCTTCGGCGTTAGACAAAACCTTTTTACAATGGTTCCTAGCAGTAATAAACAGGCGTCTGTTTTCTGGAGAATTGTTTTGCTGATAGATATGGAAGTAATGGTTTCGATTGGCAATTGCAGCAGCACAATATGAGGAAAACCATGGAGAAGAGTAAGGTATGACCTGGAATCGTCGAGAGAGAATAAAGAATTCCATGCCAGCCTGAATCCACGAAGTGGATTCAGGAAAAATGTAAGAAGCACATTTGTCAACAGGGAGACGAAAGATTTCTACCCAGGGGCCATCACAAAGAAAATCATGGAAAGAGTCCTAGTCAGCTTTAAGGTAGTTGTAAGATGTACAATGATAGGGGGATTCTGATGGTAAAGAAGAATGAGATAATAGTTTTAGAGAGACCAAACCATGATCAGGAGCACCTAAGTTAAATAAAAGAATAACATGGTTTCTTTAATAAATATATTTACTGCGTTTGAAGCATGTCTGAAATTGTTTTTTATATAATGCCCAATTTCCAATGTTAATACAAATTACATAACAATTACTCTGTTTAAAGAGATTTAAAAAATTTATAATTTTAAAAAAAAGTTCTAAATAGGCTCATTTTATTAACATTTTATTAAAAAAGTAAATTAACAAAACACTTTAAAAAATTGTATATCAAAAAATATTTTTACTTTCGTTATATTCTTATCTACTTATTTCTTCGACTTGTATCAATTTTGGTAGTGGAAAATAACAAACAACATAAAAATAAGAAAACAAAATCAGTAAATATTTAGGTATATATTATTTTTTGACAACAATTTTCTTTTTTTAATATTAAATTTTTTAAACTTATTTTATTTAGATTTTTATTTCGTATAGTCTTCGATTCTTTTCTTCAAGTATTGCTCTTTTATTCTCTCTAGTTTCTTTTTTTGCTGCAAGTTCTTAAAACGCTTACTATATAAAAACTTGGTCAAGTTTTCTAAAAAAATTATTTTAAGCATGGATGAACAAGGTGTGGATGAACAACCCTCGGAATTAGGAAAAATGAGATCAGCAATAATTTACCAACCTCAATCTTTTAGAGGTTAACATCAGGTTGGCAAAAATTATTTGATACAAAGGTCTTACCATAAAACATAGAAATGAGGTCAGCAATATATATAGAAATGAGTTCATATATATATATATATATATATATATATATATATATATATATATATATATATATATATATATATATATATATATATATATATATATATATACACACACGAGCAGTGAACGCCCAAGGGAAGAAATGAAGTACATTAGAATAAAGGATAATAATTTATTGAACAAAGCATATTTTGACAGTCAAGACAAAAATAAAGATTAATAGAGGAATACTTAGAAATAAATAAAACAGACTATACACCCAAAACAGCACCCAACAACAACAATAACAATTCCAGCAACAACAATAACAATTAAAAAAAAATTGTTTTATAAACACCAATATGAACGAAGATATACAACAAATACATCACCAGACAAAAAACTTATAAAACAAAAAACCGATCACAAAATAAAAAGTATGCTAACAACAATGGAAGGCCTCAGAATGAAAAAAGTATTAATGCTAATGTGTAAACATAATTTGTGTAAACAATAATTTTTTGAAAGGCCTCAAGAAATATTTAAAGTAAAAATATTTAAAGTATGCCGTAGTGGTGTAATGGTAGAGCGCTTACTTCATAAGCAAGAAATTTCAAGTTTGATCCTCACCACATCCCTTAACATAGTACCACCCTTAACATAGTACCACCCTTAACATGTTTCTCTGTGCAGCAGTCTTGTTTTTCAAGGTTCATGAGTTAATGAGTTGAGAGAGGGTTGCAACAACAATTAAGTAGCCTCCTTGACTTAAGTGACTTTCTTAGCCTTGAAAAGGTGAACTAACATTTACAACAACAGACAACTGGCAACCTGATCCTCTTTAAGTGGTAGGTATGCAAAATAAATATATGTAAAAAACTATTTGTTCATTATAAGTTCATAATTTATTTATTGTAATTACTTGTTTTTTATTAAGTTTGACAAGTTAAGACAAGTTTTATTTAAAAAAAAAATAGTTTTTTTTTTTAATAATATATATTTTTCTTATATTTATTCAAGCATAGAGTATTAATACATTTAAAAGTTTGTATATTAAATAAAAATTTATTTAATGTCTCGCTCTTTTTTACTGGAAATTTTATTATGATTATTATTTTATTAGGTTTTAAAATCTAATATTAATTTAGATTATTACTTAAAACCATTAATTTACATATTTACAGTTTTTTAAATATTATTTAAAATCAGCAAGTCTATTAGGTTTAGTCTTGGTAAAGTTATGTTAAGCACATGTGGAGAAAAAACATGTTAATTATGTTAAACACATGCAGAGAAGAAACATGTTAGTAATGTTAAACACATGTGGGGAAGAACATGTTAATTATTTTAAACACAGGTGGAGAACAAACATGTTAGTTATGTTAAACACATGTGGAGAAGAAACATGTTAATTATGTAAAACACATGTGGAGAAGAAACATGTTAGTAAAAAAACATTAAACATTTTGAAAATTTGATGCAATTTAAGGTTCATTAAATCTATTCAAAAATAAGAAACGCAACAATGTTACACAAAGCAAACTCAAAAAAAGTCATAATGTTTAAGAGTAATTAACTGTAATTAAAAAATGGTGGTTTAGATTCTGCAGCTTTCAAACAAATGATTCAAATGAACTAAGTTTAATTTGGTGTAAAACTTGCCGAGAACATTCAGTGCTTTTGAAAAATTGTTAAAAAAAAGATTGCACTAAATTAGTAACAGAAATGTTTGTAATAAAAAATATATATCAGTCACAAAAAAGAAATACTTTTCAGACCATATTTTACATTTTCATAAGCATACGGCAGCTGTGTAAAGTTTAACATTTATTTACATAAAATTACAAGTTCATACTGTGCTACAATTCAAAGAGTGTTTTTTTGTATAAAAAACAAAAAACAACTATTGTAGCAAAAGTAAATTCTAATTCCCTTTAGAGGTTAGAACAACCGGATGTAAACTGTAAAGAGGTATAAACTGTCTACTTTTTTTTTTAAACAAATTGCTCTTATCAAAATTTTGGCTTACTGCACATAAACTAAATTTGTATTTCTAAACGATGTTTTTTTTATGTTCAACCTAAAAAACCAAAAAAAATGTAATAAATAAACTATGTTTTTTTTTTTTGTTATTAAAAAACAACTTCGAAACTAAAAAATTATTAATTCATAAATTTGCTAAATACATACATAAAGTTTAATTGCTACATTTTTTAAAACATTATTGTCTAAAGCTACGCTCTCATAAAACAATGCTTTTATAATTAATCATCACCCTATTTGTAACAGAAGTATAAGTATAGCACTCTTGACCTAAAATCCTTCAAATTTTACAGGCTATATTTATGTATATGTAACACTTTATATGGTGCATTGTTTAATTTTAATTTTGGATGTAAAATTCCTTTTGATAATTTTATTTAGAATACTTTAATTTTGTAATAAATAATCTTGTGTTTTTTCTTCATTCTAGGAGCAATGGTTTTCAGCACAGGAAGCTTCAAAATTTAAACCAATGCATATTACTGGCATTGAAGGAGTCGAGGATATGGTATCAGTTTTACTAAAGCAGCATTGAAACTAAAAATTATTTTGTGTTATTTATTAAATTATTTTATTCTAGATTCGACTTGGAGAATTAAATGAAGCTGGAATACTGCATAATTTATTAAAAAGATACTATGAAAACAATATTTATGTAAGTATATTTAGTATTCAAAACATGTTTATGATTTATGTTTTTAAAAATAGTTTTTGAAGGGATTTTTATATTGTAGCTTCAAAATGTTTCTTAATAATATCAGGGCTTTTTCTAGGAAAAAAATTGGGGGGGGGGGACTTTAGCAAAAAATCAGAGTTTTTTTTTTGCAAAAAAAAACAAAATTTGCCATAAAAATGAAAAAAAAAAAAAAAAGCGTCCTCAAATTTTAATTTGGCGGCGCCTAAAAACAGCGATGTAATACAGTCGATGCTATCAAAAATGGTCTAGAATAACCCCTGAATATTGTTTAATTTTTTTTGAAGTTTGTTAATAAATAATTAAGAATTTTCTGATATACAAAATAAAATAATATTTTGTATTATAGAATCAAATTTATAATAAATGTAAATATTTGTAATGATTTTTTAAATTTTAATCCAGATTTCTTTTTTCTTTTCTGTTTTTAATATGAGAAGTTTATATGAAGAGAATTGCCATTGAAGTTTATATAAAGAAAATAGTCATTGAAGTTTATATGAAGAGAATAGCAATTGAAGTTTATATGAAGAGAATAGCCATTGAATTGACAAATAAAGTTTAAAATGTTGACGACTTAAATCTTATTGTTATTATAAAAAAATACAATTTTTATAAGAAAGTACAGTTTTTATAAAAAAATACAGTTTTTGTAACAGTATATGATAGTATAGAATTATACAGAATTATTGCCATATAGAATTATACAGAATTATATTGTCTCTTATATGATATGACTGTAAATTTGAAAACCCCATATTTCACTTTTAAAATGTTACAATTCAATTAAAATGCATGCTAATGAACATTGTAATCTTGTTTAAGTTTGAAATTAATTAACTTACTGAATATTTTTACTAAAAAGTATAGTTTTATTTAATTAGAAAAGATTCAGAATGCCTTAAATACATAATTTCATAAATTGAATTTTAAGATAAAAGTAACTAAAATTATTATTAAAATTATACTTTTTAAAGGTGAGTGTGTAAATAATAATTGTTTTAGATTGGTGTGTGAGTACGTTACAAAATAGTTGTTTTACACTGATCAAGGTGTGTGAGTACATGCACTAATCCATAAAATGCTGCATTTCACAATTAACATGACACATAATGAATGAGATTAACAAACCTTAAGTTATTTATTTGCTAATAAAACTCAAAATTAAAAATTTCAATTAAATATCAGAAAAATTTGGAGATTTTTATATTGGTAACTAAGGGTAACTTTTATTTTATCAATCTTTTACTTTACAGATTTATCTCTTGAAATTTTTATTAAGTTGTTAAATTTTATCTCTTGAAAATTTTATGATAAATATGTTATAAGTCAGTTAAAAATTTTCTAAAATTGTCTCAATTGCTTTTTACTGAAAGTACACATAATTTACTAAAAGAACACATAGTTTTTAAATATATTTTTAGGTAACAAAGTTAATAAAAACTTTTTATTTAACAATTGGTAATTTTCAATTTTTTTATTGTTAGTTTTAAAATGAAAAAAAATGTCTTAAAATTAAAAAAAAAATCAGTAAGGGATCGTCCATAAATTACGTAACGCAAAGTTTCACAAAAAACAAAACAAAAAAAGATCAAAACTTTTCCCTCACAGAGTCTTAATTTAAATAAACGATCAAAATAGGAAATTTAGTTAAATCAAAATCGCCGCGTAAAAGAGCCTAATATCTCCTACTCCTGTTCTTAAAATATTTTTTGCGTTGCGTAATTTATGGACGATCCCTAATATAAATGTATATTTATTTATTTTCCAATTATTTTAATTATTTCAATCATTTTAATCATTTTAATTATTTTAATCATTTTAATTATTTTAATCATTTTAATTATTTTAATTATTTTAATTATTTTAATTATTTTAATTATTTTAATTATTTTAATCATTTTAAATTTAAAGATGAAGTAAAACAAGAGTAATAAGAAATAATTAAAAAATTAAAATATTAAAAAGCAGACAAAATTGTTTTATATTAATGGCCACTGTAGTCTACTATAATGGCAACTAGTTATTGAGTTTAAAATATTGGAGTTATCAAGTAAGATATTTTTTTCTAAACATTTAGACATACACTGGTTCTATCCTGGTTGCTGTAAATCCATACCAAGTGTATCCTATTTATGATGCAAATTATATTAAAAAGTACCAGGGAAGAAAAATTGGAGATCTTCCTCCTCATATTTTTGCAATTGCTGATGGCTCTTATTATTATATGCGAAGAGAAAAACAAGATCAATGTATCATCATCAGGTAATTCATAAAAGATCAATGTATCATCATCAGGGAAGTTTAATCTAAAAATAGTAAACTATATCAACTCACGCCCTGTCAAATTCAAGATCAACCTCATCTGAAAGGACCAAAAAAGTCCTTCTATGGAAGCATTATATAGACCTTATGAGTACATTTAGAGGTATTTTTAAAATTTTAGTTTTGTCCATGCCAGATTTTTGCGTTTTAACAGGTGAATTTTAGATTTTTTGTTGTTGACGTGGTTAACTTCCAAATGTGGTATAAACTCAAAACTCTTATATCTTCATCATGAAATCAGATGAGGATGGTTTACAAAAAATTACAGCAATTCGAACTTGTGGGAAAAATACCCTTATAATTTTTCCTTTATGACTTTCCTCTATAAAAATATGTTGTTTTATAGTAAAACAAAGCTCTCTTATATATTTCAAATTTTGTTGACAAAACTCTTGGTGTTTAGAATCGGTGACCATGTAAAATTTACAACCCCCTCAATTTGAGGGGGTTTAATTTATTACATGGTCTTTACTCTAAAAAAACACGAAAAATTTTTTTGATGGAACTTAAATTTTGAAAAGAAATATTAGTTTACTTTGATGAATATTAATAAAGTGATTGATGTAGCATTTTATATTTCATTTGCTCTAAAAATAGTCTATATTATTTGTGAAATTAAACCCCATTTAAGCAAGCATGCTTGCTGGTGTGATGTCAATTTTGACAATCTATAAGAATGCGGATTTCTAAGATCTTTTAGCACATTGATTGACAGATATAAACTTTGCAAAAAAAATTTTCAAATGTTATCCATTCACTGATGATCATTATGGGCGACTCAGTGCTCATTTTAGATGTTATTCCACCAATGAATCTTCTGTAGCCTAGAGCCAAAGAATGACCAGCTAAGTTGCACATTCAGCTCCAGCTGTACTGTAGTACAGCTGGTGTTTTCTGCCATGTTTTCTGCTGTTTTCTACCATGTTGAAGAATTTGTGCTAAAGCATCAATCTTTATTCAGAATATTTAGTGAATTATATATATATGAGTTTATAAATTGCAATATTTATGCAATATATTGTTGCAATATATATATTTTTAAAAGATTTCAATTAAAATACAAATACTTGAATCTTATTTTTTTAATGTTCAAGATAATAAATCTTTTCAATAACATATTTTAGCATTTTTACAGAAATACCCCAATAAATTTGCCCTCTTGAACCCTAAAAATATTACTTTTTTAGAAAAAACAAAATTACACTATCCTAAAGCAAATCAATATTCATTTAAAAAATTTAAGTTCCATCAAATTTTTTTTGTGTGTTTTAGAGTGATAACAGTTTAATGAGTTGAACCCCCTCGAAGAGAGTTTTGTTAATGAAAATTGAAATATATAAGGGAGATTTTACTATAAAATATTGTAGTTTATTTACCAAAATAATATTTTCCTTTAGGGGGGTTATGAAGGAAAAAATTATTGGGGTATTTTTTCTCCCAAGTTCCGATTGCAGCAATATTTTGTAAACCATTCTCATTTGATTTCATCATGACGATATAAAAGTTTCAAGTTTATACCACGCTTGGAAGTTAACCATTTCAAATACAAAAAATATATAATCCAAGTGTAAAAATGCAAATAACTGGTTCAGACAAAATTAAAAGATTTTTAAAACACCTCTAAATGTACTCATAAGGTCTATATAATGCTTCCATAGAAGGATTTTTTGGTCTAATAAGATGAGGTCGATTGTAAGTTTGACAGGGTGTGAACTCAAAGTAAATTAAAATTAGTAAAAAATTTGCAAAATTTTTTCTCAGATTGTATAACAGTTTCTTGTTACAATAAAATACAAGTAAATAAAAAAAAGCACACACTTGCACACACTAGATAGAATTATGCAACTGTTTTTTTCAAACAAGACAACTGTTTACTTCACAACTTTAAATTCAATTTTTTTTTGACTAAATCTTTATCATATTTTTATCAATTTATTGTATAATTTTATAATGTTTATTTACAAGTGGCGAATCTGGAGCAGGTAAAACAGAATCAACAAAATTAATTTTACAATATCTTGCAACAATTAGCGGTCAACATTCTTGGATCGAACAACAAATTTTAGAAGCTAATCCCATACTTGAAGGTTTTTTTTTAAAATAAACTAAATTTAAAATAAAAAACTTATAGTTGTAAAGCTATATAAAAGCATGTTCATTTAATTTTTTTTTTTTTTTTTTTCTATTTTCATATCATTTTTTAAATTTATTTTGATTGATTAAATACTATTTATCATTGTTTAATTTTAATGATTTGCCTAATTAAAAATTAAGAAATTAATTTAAAATTAAAACATAAAGTCATTTATTATTGTTTATTTAGCATTTGGGAACGCAAAGACTATCAGAAATGATAATTCAAGTCGTTTTGGTAAATACATAGATGTTCATTTTAATATTAATGGTTTCATAGAAGGAGCAAAAATTGATCAGTATTTGCTAGAAAAATCAAGGATTGTTGGACAAGTATATTTTTTATTTTAAACTATTGTTTTGTGCTTAATTCAATTATCAACAAAAAAATTGTTCAAATTAAAGAAAAAATAAATTGAATTATCTGAAATAGATAAGGCAAATTGTTATCTGCTTTCTTGAAACAAACAAGATATTTTATATTTCCTTAAAATTTACTGTTGTATAGTTACTTAAAAAGCCTGTTACTTTTAGTAACTTAATTAGACAGTTCCTTAAATTAAAAAACAAACTAGTTATAGATAATTATGACTTTGAAAACATATTCTATGATAAGGTTAAACAGGTCTGTATTGTTTATGACATACTTAAAAAACTGCATTTTGATCTTTATTTTAAACATCATTTCCTTTTGTCCAATTATGTTTATTATATTTTAAATATTCCAAAAGCAAAATTTTTCAATGTGGAGAACATACATAAAATTTGGTAATATCCTATATTATTTTGAAAACTTAGAAAAATAAAAATATGTTAAAATGTGTTAATAAAAGATAAATTTTATTTAATTGTCTAGATGAAAGATGAGCGTAATTATCACATCTTTTATTATATGCTACTTGGTATTTCGCCAGCAGAAAAACAAAAGCTTCTTCTTACTCGGGCTGAAGATTATGCTTATCTGAATCGTGGTGGTTGCCTTACATGTGATGGTATTGATGATGCTGAAGAATTTGGAACCATTCGTGGTGCTATGAAAGTAAGTTATATTTTTGTTATGAAAAATTGTTTTTAAAAATTTCTAATAATGTTATAAAATACTCAATAAGCCTGCAAACGAGTTTGTTTTAAATTGTAATTTTCTTTATATTTTGTTATTAAGTTATTATAAGGTAAGAATTCCCAAGTTGGTTTGTAATTTTTTCAAATTTCAAGTTCAAAAAGTATAAAGTTTCATATAGATAAAAAAAAATCTAAGTTGAAAAATATTTATCAAAAAGTTATGTTAGTGTATTTTACAAACAGAGTGCTTGATGCTCTTAAAGAACCGAGAAGTAAATTAATAAAAACACTTATCTAATTTTGTCATTATTATATGTATATTATATGCACATATGTATTATATTATATATATTATATATGTATATATATATATATATATGTACATATTATATTATATTATGTATATTATATTATATTATATTATATTATATTATATTATATTATATTATATTATATTATATTATATTATATTATATTATATTATATTATATTATATTATATATATATATATATATATATATATATATATATATATATATATATATATATATATATATATATATATATATATATATATATATATATATATATATATATGTGCATATTATATTATATAATATAATACACTCCACAAGGACCATAAAGAAGAAAATTTATACCACAAAAATAATTCCAGTCAGCTTTAAGGTAATAATAAGTAATGAAATGATGGTGTCTGTTAATGGTGAATGAGTCTGAATTAGGTGAATTAGGTGGTCTGAAGAAGATAAAGATAAAGATTTAGAGAGATGCTGTTTTCCACATTCAGCAAATTTGATGGAAGATGCTATGCACCATGTGTATGGATGCTTGGAAGAGTGAGATTGAAGACCACATAATATATTGGCTACTTTCATATCACAGGACACCACAAATTCTATTGATTAAGCTTTGTCAAGATGAAAATATGCTTGAGGTTGTTATAATTTTCTGACATTACTGAAATAGCAACAATAATTTGCTGGTTGCAACCACTGTCTTTTGAGTTCTTTGTGGTTAAGAATCACTTTCTTGGTGGTGAAATAATAAGATCAGGCCTTAAATCTGTTTCTACAATTCGAGAGAAAACTTTTAAAATCCTGCACCACCATCCATTCCAAGTAGATATGCTCAGAAAAAATCTTTCTTTCCAAAAAAACATAGTCAAGCAATTCATTAAAGTTTTTACAGTGGATGGTTGTTTTTTCCATTTTTGACTCAATTCTTCAACTGTTTTAAGTTTTGTATTAAAAAAAAAAATCTACAAGGTTGTTACCTAATTTAAGAAATTTTGAATCAATGTATGGTTCTGTGACTTTGATCTTTAAAACTTGATTAAGAGTAGATGCAATTTAAATGAACTCTTCTTTAGCAATTAGGGGAAGAGAAAGCAGCATTTCACATTTTCCCTCTCTTTGATGCTTCCAAAAATTCAACTGCAAACATTTGGTTCTCTCAAAGCTTCTTTTCATTTGCTTCTGCTGGTAATAATATAAAGAATGAAAAAAAGTTTGTAAATGTCATTCATAAACCCAATTCTTAAAGCAGATGACAATGTCCTTGTTTTGGATTTGATTCCACCTATAGAACTACATATTTTGTTTGTGGTTGTCATCCACCTTTAAAAACTGTCTGGCCTTGTACTGATGAGTGGACAGCAGCTTTTCACATTAGCCCACAGCCTTACCATGGAGGTCAATACATTAGAAATGATTGCCACAAGCTGTTCATAAATGGTGATCTTATTCAGCAATTGGCAGAAGAAAAAGCAGCGTTTCACATTTTCCCTCTCATTGATGCTTCCAAAAGTTCAATTCTGTTGTAAAGGCGTGCTTTGGAATGTTTTGGAACATGATTTTGATTAAAAAGTTGTTCTTTTCAAGCACTTCCTGCAGGAAGTGTGATTCAAAAAGTCCATGCCATGTTTTTTCATATCAAGGATTTCATCATGAGAAAGAACACTTTATTAGGAATTTATAGTGACCAAACAACTGTAGCTTTACATCATCAATTTCAGATTTAATAATTTCACATCCAGAATATAAAACTCAACTTTAAAAATGTATTGTTGATTTTAATAGCAAGCATTTGTAAAACTGCCTTAAAACTTTCAAAACACAGTCCTATTTGGATGAAAAATGTATATTTTGTTCTTGTTAGTGAATTAAATAATTATTTATTTGTACTGTAGAAATGCCAAATTTGTATTGGTTTTATTTCCTTCATTGCTGTTTATAGTAATAAACTTAAATGTTGAATAACTTTTTTGGATAAAATGTTTTAATTTCAATTTTTACATTTTTATGATTCATTTCATTAGTTACATTTTTATGATATCATATGCTTTCAAACCCCTTATCCTGTTTCTCCAGGTCAGCTCGAAAAGGCTCTTGATTTTTTGACAGGAGTGAGAATCTGAAAAAAGAGTCAAAAATCATTTGGTTAAGATAATTTTGAATAAGATAATACAAAATTTGAATAAGAAAATACAAAACTTTAATAATACAAAGTTTGAATAAGAAAATACATTTGAATAAGATAATACAAAATAGATAATACAAAAGTTATGAGCTTTATTGCCAGCAAGGTCAGTGGGGCTGGAGCCAAGTCATTCAGTGTGATGAGCATAAGTCACCAATAACAACAATATTGGTTTATAGATAAAGAGAGAAGGGCTTGAGAAAAGTTTAAGTGACATAGCATGGTTTGAACCACTTATTGATAAACAATGAGAAAGTGAGCACAACCTTTGAACCGCTTATTGATAAACAATGAGAAAGTGAACCTTGGATCAGATACAAGACTAACTATCTGAATAAGAGATTAAGACAAAAAATTAGAAGTTTAATGTTTATTATTCTTTATGTACATTAGCACAGCCATTAGTACTATAGCCAAGCCTTTTTTTTGTGATGAGCATTAAAGTCACCAAAAATAACAATAAATAAAAAATATTTATTATAAATAAAAATAAAAAGATAAATAAAAAAGAAAGAGTTTGGTAAATTTGAGACAAAAGAGAGAAATGAATAATGAAGAGAAAAGTAATTGAGTGGGGAGGTGCTATATGAAAACACATAAAAGAATGGTCAGAGGATTCAAACCTGATTTCATGACAAAAAGGTGAATTGATGCGCAAGTTAAAGCCCAGGCCAAACATGGTCTATTTAAGTTTTTGTATTAAGTTTTTTATTAAGAATTAATTATAACTATTTAAAACCTAATTTCTTTATTTATGGCTAGTTTTGACTTGGTTAATCAAAATTATTGCTAGTTTTGTATTGGTTAATCAAAATTGTGTCTAGTTTTTACTTGGAAAATGTTTTTACATGATTTTGTTGCTATTTGAGTTTTTACTTAATAACCACTCAAATATTCTAAACAGTAAAGAAATATCTAAATAAAGATATATAATATAAGTAAACATTGAAAAATAGTTGTGACTTATTTACAAATTAATTACTAATAAAGTCAATGCATTTCATTTGTGTAAAAAATACAAATAAAATGACATTACAGTGTGGTAAGAATATATCAAATTTTTAGTAGAAAGACTTTCATTACAGGGTGGTTAAATTTTTTTTTTAAGTTTTTTTATATGATAGATATGCCGATAGTACTCTAGGAACCTCTTTAAAAAAGATTCTATATTTCTTCTTGCTGCTAAGTTTTTTTATTAGTGGTTGCTAAAGCATTATTAGGTTGTGTAACAATGTTTATTCCAGCAGGTTGTGTAACAATGTTTACTCCAGCAGGTTGTGTAACAATGTTTACTCCAGCAGGTTGTATAACAATGTTTACTCCAGCAGGTTGTGTAACAGTGTTTACTCCAGCAAATCTTTAACATATTTTTGTTCAAAAGTTAATAATAAATCTTTGTTTTTTCTGTTTTAAAATTTAGGTCCTTTTGTTTACAGACAATGAATCATGGCATATATTTAAACTTTTGGCTGGTGTTCTTCATTTAGGAAATATAACTTTCAAGAGTATGTAACTTTAATAATGTTATTATAAAATATAAGTTTTAAGAGTATGTAACTTTAATAATGTTATTATAAAAAATAAGTTTTAAGAGTATGTAACTTTAATAATGTTATTACAAAATATAACTTTTAAGAGTATGTAACTTTATTATTGTTGTTATAAAGTATAACTTTTAAGAGTATGTAACTTTAATAATGTTATTTAAAGTTGATAATAATTTGAAAAATAGAATCATATGTTTAATTTTTATTAAAAAAATTTTTCACATATTGTTATTTTATTATTAATAAGTTAATAAATATATATATTTTTTTATTTTAATTCACCTCCCTAAGAAGACAAGTTAAGCACGGTACTATAGGGACATGGTAGGGATCGAACTCGGAACTTCTTGCTTATGAGGCGAGTGCTCTACTATTCTATATACTAAATATATCAAAATATACAATTAGTTAAATCAAAAAAGGTTCTGGTTTAGCTTTTTATTTATAAATTAACAATAAAAAGCAATTAGGTTAAAATATAAAGCTATGTACAAAAGTTTAATCGAGAAAATAGTTTCAATCAAACTTTTCAGAGTTTTTTTAACTAAAAAAAAAAATAGAAAAATGAATTTAATTAATTACTTTTAATAGAACAATCAATTAGCTATATAATTAACATTAATAAAATAAGATATTAAAAAAAAAAAATTCAAAAATTAATAATTATATAATCATAAAATGAGTTGCATAAAAGCTTAATTGAGTTTAGTACATAAAAAATTACAAATTTAAAAAAAATTCAAATTTAATATTTAAAGTATCCTCCTTTAGCTCAATAGCAAAGAAGAACTTGTCTCTGCATTGATTCTACCAATTTCATGCACATCTCATGTGGCTCTTTTAACCAATACTTTAGAAGTTGCTTTTTTCAAAATTCTTTGCACCATTTTCGTATTTTGCGTCAATCCATGATTGACAAGATAGGCTTATTGCAATGTAAGACCCAGTACCTTTTTATGCTGACATTTTTATAACAAGATCTCTGCTTACATTTCGATTAGAAAAGGTCTGAATTGAGCTTTTTATAGCTGAGCCTAGGATTTTCTCTACTTTAAATGAAGAAATTATAAGTATTTAAAATTTTTTCATTTAAAGATGATTGAATTTTCGTGCATAACATTCCCAATGAAGAGAAAGCCCGTTCAGTTTCTACGCTTGTTGGAGAAATAGTTAAAATATAATCGTTTACCAACTAAAAGTTGGTACCACGTATACCAACTTGAAGTTAATAAACGAATATAGAAATTTCTTTTTATCATTTTAGTCAAATCGTTAATATTTTGACTTGTTTTTGGTACTGTTTTCATTTTTATCTCATTATTTATGGCCATGTCCTGCTGCCTCTGTCAAGCTCAAAGGTTTGTCTTTGCACATGGCATCTTTGTCGTTGTATGTTTCGGATGGCAATGCTGTAGTTTTAGCTTGAAAGGATGAGAGCTGCTGGATAAGATGGACAATTAAACTTACCGAAGCAGTTTTAATTAGCTGATCAAATATGATATCTAAACCAAAATTATTTTGAGTTTGATCACCTCTATAAATAAATTGCATGAGATAAGATAAATTTTTGCACCTTTCTTATATTGTTTCAAATAAGGAGGCCTTTATATTGTTATTTAATTACCCTTCGCCTAAATTTTGCAGCATAAATGCCAAGGTAGTATCAGCTGATAGAAGATTAGCATCTCTCCAATATAAAGCATATGTGGTAATACATATGATATCGCAATCAATTTTTAAGTTGTGTTCTTTCAGTAGGTTTTCAATTAACTTAATGCACATTTCTGCTGGGAAATGTCCATTAACTTGTGCTAAACCCAAATTCCAAAATCTGTTTTGAGAATGAACATTAATGTTCAAATAACGTCTATTTTTTACAGAAGTCCACTCGTCAAATGTAAGACTAAATCGGTTTCCTTGCTGTTGAAGTTTAGATAATTCTTTTATTATCGAGTTTCGAATTTTAGTAGCATATTTCATAACTTTTTTTGGTATACCAGTATTGGATGCCCTAGTGGTCACTAAGCTTCAGTGGTCTTCGAGAACCAGGCATGTCAACAACATTACCTGTCAGCTCCCAGGTTTTCACTGTTTTTTGCACGCAAAATTCAGAAGCACCTATAAGTTTACTATTTCAACATTGTTGAAATAGTAAACTTAGTGTTTTTTTTTTGTTTTTTTTAACTTATAATTTCAACATTGTTGATTCTTTGATTTGACCAGGCTTGGTCGGGAAGCGGGAGCGATCGCTCTCGAATACTGACCACGGAAATTATATTTAGTTGCGTAAAACTGGCCAGGTTTTTTAGTCGTTTTGAGAACATTTAAGTTTATGTTCGAAACAAAAACTTTTGTTTTACGGACATACATGGAAACATAAAAAACTTGAATGTTCTTAAAACATCTTTGTGCGAAAGAATAAAAAGTATGTCTGCGAACACTAAAAACCGGACAAATTAACGAACAAACTAATTCTATTGGTTCAAAAAATACGCTGATTAAGCGAAGTAAAGTTCTAGAGTGTTTTGTTAAAATGTTTCAGAAATTGTATTAAACACGATTTGTTACGTTTTGAGATTTCTAGCATTGTTTTAAGAATATATATTATTTGTTTACGAAAATAAATGTTTTAAATATATATTGATTAAACAGTTAAAATTTTAAAAGTTTATTATAAATCATAGATTTTATTAGTATATTCTTATTTTAAAAGAGATTGTATTCTTTATGTAAATGTAATTTTGTGTATTTGTTTTTTATCGTAATGTATCTTTTAAAGCAATTTTTATGATTTAAACAAAGACTTACAAAAATAACTGCGTTTTCAATGAAGTTATAATCGTTAAAGTTAATAAAACTAATTATGTAACAAACATAGAAGTAGTTTTTGGTTACTAAACACAAACAACGCATACAAAGTAACTCGCGGATGAACAAGCATCGCGCCTGAGGTCACGACAGAGCACAAATATATATAGCAAATAAATAGATATAAAGAAAAGTTTCTAGATATTGGTTTACTTACTCTAATTATTTTCGCTTAAGTTGCCATTCTTAAAACTCGTTATACTTTTTTCTGTTTTAAATACTAATTAAAATTAAAAAGCCCACTCACTAAACATCATCAGCGATATTGTGAAGCAGAGTCCCTTCCTCGTCATTACGTATTTTTAACCTTTTTAGTTGATTTCTATCTTGATTATTTAATTCCTATAGTAATTCAATGATTTAATTATTTCATTTGTTTATCTTACTAAAAAGAATCGCTTCAAATATGTTAAACTTTTCAAACTACGCGAAACATAAAATAGGTATTAAAAAAATTAACTTTTTTATTTATAAAATAATTTAGCTTAAGTAAAACTAAAACTTGCAAACTTAGTTAAATAAAGAATATTTATTTCCCTTTTAAACAATCGTAAGTTGTTACTTTATATAAAAACATCGCTCATTTTTATTTTTTTTGTAATTGTCTCTCATCGGTCCAATTAATCTTCGTCGCTTTTTTTTTTTGCATTTTAAAATGTTCTCAAAACGACTAGCAATCTGGCCAGCTTTTCGCAACTAAATATTATTTACATGGTCAGCAATCGAGAGCGATCGCTCCCGCTTCCCGAAAAAGCCTGTTTGACCAGTCAAATAATTTTCCATTTAATGCTTTCTGACATTGCTTTTTTACCTTTTTGGAAGCAATTTGAAATTTAAGATATTGCAGTTATTCTTAAGTAAATTTTCAGCAATTAAATTATTTTTTGTAGTTTAAAAGTTATTTATTTAATTAAGTATAATTATTAGTTATGAAGTGTAAAAAATGTATAATTAACTCAATTAAACTTTTGCCATAAGTAAAATATATCGTCTAAGGTTCAATTAGTTTTACGGAAGTAGTGTAGTATGTCTGAATTTTTTTTTTTTACATCTATTTTATCAATACAAACATAAATAGCAAAAAACAAAAAAGGTAAACTTAAAGTCTATATCGTTAAATTTTAATGTTAGAAAAGTAACAGGTTGTTATGAAAACTGTCTCAGCTACACAAAAGAGTTTAGGCTCGATTAAACTTTTGTGCCTAGCTGTTATTGTATAAAGTTTTTAACTTCTCTACATTTAAAAGTACATTTTTTACACTCAAAACCTACAAAATTAAAAGCATATGTTGTATAACACTAAGTCTCCATGTTTATACCACTACATCTCCATCTTGTATACCACTACATCTCCATCTTGTATACCACTACATCTCCATCTTCTATACCACTACATAGATTTCCATCTTTTATACATCTAAATCTCCTGTGAACCCTGGTAAACCAACAATGTAGTTCCCCTGGTAACAACAACAATGAACTTTTGAGTTATTGATTTGAAAGGTACTAAACCCTGATGCATATATTTTTTTACTTTAAAACTCTATCCATCTTTTGTTTTGATTGCTGTTGTGTCTTTTCCAAAGGCAGCAAAAGTTTTATTGCATCTGTTACTTCCATTTTTCCTGGACAAAAACCATGCTGCACGTTATTAATAAACACATTGCTTTATATTTTGTTAACAATAAGTATTTTAAATTATTTCATTACCTGATGCAGTTTTTAGCACATCTTTTTTTTCTTTATAGCCTACCATACAATTTCTATTCATTTGCGATTTTACCTTCCTATCTTGTTAACTTTCTAACCAACACATGACATCTACTTGGTTTATCTATTTATCTTCTACTAAAGTGAAAGTAAAAAACCAACACTTGGCACTTTTTTTTTCCATCCAACCCAGAAGAATTTTAAGAACTTTACTAATAATAAATCTAATCTGTAATCTTTTTTTTTTTTTTTTTTTATTTGAGAGATTTCTCTACCCTTTATGCATTCACATTGGTGCTCTTACTTTTTTTTACTCTGACACCCTGGCTATACAAGGTATATACTATACAGGGTTGTTAAATGGTTTAAAAAATAATCTCTTTTGGTGTAATATGCTTGTCACTGACCAATAATTTGTTTGTAACCAGTGACTATGATGAGGCTAACATTATACCATCAGACAATTCTGTTAACCCACGCTACAAGTGGCAGGGATGCGGAGTCCCAAAAGGACTCTGACTTTATAACTTTATTTTTAATGGTCTCTGGTGTCCTAAACATTTTGGTTGGTTAATGATCTGCTATAAGAAAAAAATTTATGATATTTAATGACTTAGAACTTATTGTTTTTGAGCCTGGAGTCCTTGAGTCCCGGAGTCCTTGCCGCCGTTATACCTACTCCGAGTTCAAAAATTGATTGTTCTTCTGAACTATAAGTCTTAATTTTTTCCCCATTAGTAGCTGATAACCTTTTTTATATTTTTAAAGATCCTGGATACCAAAAACTAGAAAGAAGTAATCTTTTTGTGGTTTTCAATTCCAGAGTCCTTTTTGGGACTTTGCATCCCTGACAAGTGGTGTGTTTTTTTTCTTTTTAAAGCATGGAATTTAGTGGTTTTGGATTTTTATAATTTAATGCTCTCCAAGCCCTTAACTTGTTTTATTGTTCATGAAACTAAGTATTTATATTTTGATACCATTACTAAAAAAATTATAATTTAAAGATAACAAGCTCTTGCTACCCTTTATGTCTAATATGTATATAATATATATATATATATATATATATATATATATATATATATATATATATATATATATATATATATATATATATATATATATATATATATATATATATATATATATATATATATATATATATATATATATATATATATATAATATGTATGTATTCTATATAAAGCATAAATTAATTGTATTTAAAAATCAATAAAATTTTTAAATAGTGTCTGCACAGGAACTCATATTATTATAAAATACTTTTGAAATTTTTGCACAGGATTTCATAATACTTGTTATAAACCATTACTATTTTTTGAATTTTGGGTTGCTATAATTATATTATTGACAAATTTTTATATACAAAAAGTAAATTGTGTAAAATTTGAAAAAAAGAAAATATACTTATCAAGTATTTAGTAAAATAAATTTTTTTTTAATTTTCTTGAGAAATTTCCTTATTTTTTATATATATTGTTATGTAATTGATATTTTTGTTTCCATCAAAAGTATTCAACTTTATTAAAATTTGTAGCGCTGAAAGATTCATCATTAGACGCATCTGATGTAATTAACATGTCTGCTCTAAATGCTGCTGCTTCAATGTTAGAGGTTGTTTTATTGTTAAAACTATATATAAAATTAATCTTATATTTTTCAGTAATACAAATTAACAATCTGAAAACATTTTATTATATTATTATTTTATTGTAATAATTGTTTTCTTTAAATAGGTTTTTTTGAAAAATCATTTTATATATAAATGTATATTAATCATCATATACTGTATATTAAATACTATTATTATATTTTATATATAGACTAAAATATTTTTAATGATGTAATAAATCAGATTATTTAAAATTAGGGGTGGTAGATTAATTGGTATTTCAAATTAATTGATTAACAATTAACTTTTAAAAAAATTAATCAATTTTGATTTTAAATTTTTACAAATAAATTGTTACAGTTTAAAATAAGTAAATACAACTTCTTATGATTTTATCTTTTTTCATCAGATAAAAAACATAAGTTATTAACAGTGTCATCATTTAAACTATTTGTTATATTAAAAACATAAGTTATTAACAGTGTCATC